CAATAATAATAAAATAAAATAAAAACTAAATCCTAACAAATAAACCTGTGATTTTTAAAAAACTAACTAAAGCCTTGAACACATTTTCTACAGAACTTGCATCCAGTATCTCCCTAATAGAAAACGGGAGCTTTTGTTGTAAAATCTTGTTCTTCAGTTTTCTTCTCTGATGTTTATATTTATTACAATATATGATCACATGCTCCACTGACTCTGACTGGACACAATAATCAGTTTCCACTTTCATGTTTTCCATTGTTTAATCTTGTTTGTCCAAGTCTCATACAAAATAAAATGTCTTCTGTCTTTTTATTTTTAAAACTCAAACTCTAATCCCACCTGGAAACAAAGGTTTTAGCATGTAGCCTTTCTGGAAACTGATGACAGAATTCACTGGATTTCAGTCTTTCATCAGCTGCAATGTTTCATAAAAAAGACAACGTTTGCACCAGCTGTGGATTCATATTCCAGGAAAAAAAACAAAGATAAGTTGAGTTATAACATGATTGTCTATAAAATAGTTAACAAGTTATTATAAATAAATACGTACACATCGTAAATCTATATTAATCAAAATATATTCAATATTAAAACTGTTTTCAGAATATAATGTAACACATTTATAATTAAGTATAGAAATAAATATATTCTTTTTTTCCCTAAATCGAGCACATTCCATAAGTTTATCATTTAGAGCTGACAGTACGGATCAGGCAGCCACATTCATTTCAATCTGAAATACTGAAATATAAACTAACATTTAATACTGAACTTTTACATTTAGATTTAGGGTTTAATATTTACACACATTTTTCAACATTTAAATTTACTGTTTAGTAGCTAAATGTCTGAACAGTGAGCTAAATAACAATAAAATATAAGTGGAAATTCTCTAATACTCTAAAGTAAGATAATATGTTGGTGATTTTTTAACCTTTCATGTTGGCTGATAAAATCACGTGATCAAAGCTGCTGCTTTCTGTCTTGTTGCAGCTGCCTGCAGAATAAATTCTGTTCGAAGGTTTCCATCCTTCATCCTAACTGACCTATCATTAGCTTTAGCTTTAGCATCCTGCTGACCTATCTTTAGCTTTAGCATCCTGCCATTATCCTGTCCTTCTAATTACAGGGATCACTGATGCCACCAGCGGGGGGGAAGTTCTCTTTGTGGTTCTGCTTTTTGAAAAGAACCTTTTTAAATTTAAATCCATTTGACATCATTTCTTCAGTGACTCATTTCGACTCAGACTTTCTGTCTGTCGTCCCTCCTCTTCCTCAGTTTGAACAGCTTTAAATGGAGACCAGTTCTTCTCGCAGACTCGGGACAAATAGATCCACGGTGATGTCAGCCGTTTTTATATAGAAGCACACATCTCCTCACAGCTCAGCCATGATGACATCATGGTCTGATGCTGCGGGGTGGCACGCACACACACACACACACACACACACACACACACACACACACACACACACACACACACACACACACA